CCTCGAGCAACATGAAGGAATGTGGGTGGACCTGACAATTTTACTGCTTCATTTTTCAAACTAATGTCCCCTGTAAAGAGGTTACACTAGTACTCGTTTTTCGTTTGTTTGTTTTTTCCACTGGGAAGGGGGCAAAAAAACCCATAACCATTGTTTGAATTATCTTAATTGCAACTGTGGTTCTTTACTTTACAAAAGTACAAAACTTATGATTGCACATAGAGAAATTTTGTCTATATTTATATATACAACTTCCTAACTGTAAAATCCTTTTTTATCTGTAAAAACTGTTTTCTTCTTGTGTTTCTCTTTGTCCAGGTAATGAAAGTTTAGTTCTATTTGCTTCGTAGTGTCAGTCTCATGTAATTACAAGTCTTGTCCTGCAGTTGCAGGTTTTGTAAAATATGTATGTACATGTGTGCTTAAACAGTCACTTTTAAAGGTTTCAATGATGAAGGTTCCTTTTGACAGAAACCAAAATTTTAGATCCAGAGTTGATCAGATTTTATTTTACAAAACACCTGCTACTGCACAGGACTGGTTTTTATTGCTTTAATTATAACTCTTCCATAACATACAACTACTTTCTCTCTTCTTGTATGAAATTTTGAGGTGTGGAGAACGTGCTTTGGAAGCATATACTTTGGATTTTCTTTGCATGGAATTTGAGGTCCAAGGTGGATTTGTTCTTGGCTTCATTAAAAGAGCTGTCAAACCCACACATAATATACCTTTCTTTTCCTATACAGAAGTAAGAAATAGTGGGAAAGACTGTGGAAAAGCAGTTCAGGATGAGTGTAGTTTGTGCCAGGAAGAAAGTTGATGTGGTTTGTATTTGAAGTAGTCTGCAGAAATCCCTTTTCTATTTTAATGTGTACATGAGTTTTCCTTATCTAATAACATTAGGATGCCTACACTTTACTTTGTTGTTCTGTTGTTAATTTAATTAAAATCTTTTTTTTTTAAAGATAATGATGCTAATTTTTATTTGCTTCTAGATGTCTAAAAGCACCATGAGTGATACTAGTCCCCATTTTACATATCAAAACATAGCAAGGATCAGACTTGTGATATTTTGGGTTTGTTTTATTTCAGTCTCATGCTCAGTATTTTCTTTCAACAGGGTCGTAGAGCTGTTAAGGCAGGACATTATGCTTCTTGTCAGGAAGCAAAAGAAGAAATCAAGGTATCTTCCTAAAATATTTTTCTCATTTAAAAAAATCAACAAATCTCCTAACTATTAATACTGAAGACTTGTCTTCTGTATAGTCTTGAACTTGGTACTGCCATGCTTTTATAATCTGCCTGTGAACTGTTTTGAAGTTGAATTTAACTTACCAAATTTGGGATTAATGGGTAGAGAGAGAGATATCTTCAGAAATAGAATGTCAAATTGATTTTGTTTTTTACTTGGGAGAGGTAATGACTGGTGGAGACAAATATGAAAAATCATGTTATCTTTACTTTATATCTACTAATATTTACCTGACTCCTAGAGACATTCTGAGAATGTTTCTCAGCGGCCCCTTCACGTGGAGGTTCTGCATGCTGATGTCATGGCTCACCAGAAGTTTGCCTTGCGCCTGGGTTCTTGGCTCAACAAACTCATGAGCTATTCAAGTAAGCACAGCTGATTTCTGTCGCAGTAAAACCCTGCCACTGTTTGAATGACTGATTCCTTCACAGAATGTATTCAGTAGTGTTACATATGGCATTCCTATATTAAAATACTTTCACATTCCTCCTAATTATTAGATAATTAAGTAGTATGGGTGCTGATATCCATCAGTATGGTTATGAATAGAAGTACTTTTCTGTTCCTTCTTGCTAAAATAAATGTCTTTCCTTGTCCTATTACTACAGATCCTTGTAAAAGAAGCTTTATTATCTGCAGCTTCAGCATCACGTGCCCTATTTCAGTGACTTCTTTGCTTAAATCTGTTCCCCTCCCCAGTGCCTGGTGGAAAGCTGCAGAACATGTCCATCATCAGATACATGCTCTGCTTGAATCAATTCCTGCTTAAGATTTGATAGCTGTGATCAGTTAGATAGTGTCAGTAAAACAAACAACAACAGCCTTAATTTAAAAATTTGTCCATCAGTGGAAAGTCATATTTTAAGTTTTCAGACATTATCCTGGTTTTGATGATGCTTATGGTTTTAAAGAAGGCTTCTGAGCCAGCCTAATTTTGGTTTCTGTTACTGTGTTTTGCCACACTAAAGCCATTGTAAAATCTCTTTTCACAAATTTGCACGGATGAAGCTCTACTCACTGCTTATCCTCCTTCTTGATAGGGGGAAACTGTTAAGTCTGCCTCAGCCTTTTTTATAAGCTTGGATAGTTAAGTGAATTTTTTATCTTTTCTCTGAACTTTTACTTTACAATCTTCCCTTTGAAATACATGTACCAGAATTACACCTTTTTGTAATTCTTTACAATATTTTAGAGAGATTAGCTTCCTTTTCTTTTCAACTTTATATGTATTTCACCAATGATATTTTCTTGCTAGTCTGAGTTCTTTGGACAGTTCTGTTAACTGGTACAAGTTTTTGACTGTGTGGTTTATTTCGAGGTTTCTAGTGAAAGTTCAAAATTTTTAATCCAGATTTTTCTTCCTAGATTATTTTTCTTATTTTCAATTCTGTGAGGTTATTTAAAGCACCAATTGATAGCTGACTGGTTGGCTGTTGACTCTGTGTGCATATAGACAAATTGGTGTCAGTGCTCCAACAATTCCCCAAAATTTTAGTTTTTTGAACATTACCTTTTTAGCCACTGTGATAAGCTAAAAGTGAAAAGGAGTCTCCCATTTGGGTGTGGCACTTTGGGTTAGGAAATTTTTATAGGTTAACTGATACTTTAATGTGTTTTTTGAGAGTCTTTAAGCACAAAGACTGAAGTCTAACATTCCTGTTCTTGTAGATGCTTTAAGAACCTGATGTTTTGCACTTAGCTGGAACTCATTGGTGGTGTGATGGTTCCCGTTCTTTGCCTGGTCTTGCCTCAAGTGATAGAACACTGATCAAGAAACATTCAATAAAATTTATTGCCAGGTTATTGGGAACTTGATCCATGACACTCCACTTTTTCCTTTTGAAATTAGTAATGTAAGAACTCATTTATGAACATTAGTAACCCATGGGTGACTGAGATATTGATCCCCAAAACTGCTTCACCAAGTACTGTGTTTACTGATAGATTCAATAAAATGGTGTTCTGGCATTTTACAAAAGACTGCCTTTCAGAGCTCAGGGCAGGCAGCAGCATAGACTTGCCTTGCCTGTGCACTTCTGTGCTGACATAGTGAACTCTTCCTATGGATCTGCTTTGCAAAGCTGCCTAAATGTTTTTCATTTTAAAATACTCTTCTACATTGCTGGATTGATAAAGTAGGTGAGAAAAATAGGAAGAAATTAGTGCAAGAGAGAGAATGTTGAAGTATGTTTACTTAAAAATAATTAATAATGAAGTACCTTCTAATTTTTCTTTTTTTTAAAGAACAGACTTCTGTAGTTCTCATTTTATTGGCTCATATTATTTAATTATTGAAGCATTCTTGTACAAATGGATAGTTTTCTCTCTATAGGTGACTTTCGCCAGATTTTTTGTCAGATATGTCTGAAAGAAGCAGCTGGATCTGAGAGGCCGTGCTTCATAAGCAGGTTGATGCTGTGGGATGCAAAACTTCATAAAGGTCTGTGTATCCATGTTGCTATAAACTAAAGAGACAAATTAATTTTTCCTGTGTAACAAATGTGTAAGAAGGCTATACAGATGGAGTTGCATTTCTTTATAGTTTTTATATCATGGGTTTTATACAGCCTCTATTTTTATAGATGAGATAATTGGTATTTTGGATATATATTTCCCTCCTAAATTTTTCTTACTTTATTTTGAAAAGCCTTTTCACAAAATGTGGCCTGTCTGAAGGACTTGATGCTTACCCTGTGGTTTAAATACACAGCAATAAATGTTAAAAATAGAAAAAACATATTTGCTCATATACTTTGTAATAATTTCACAGGTTTTAAAGATTTTAAATTACAATTTAATAACCTAATCCCCTTTTCCACAAAGCTGCATCTTAGTACAGTGAAGTGATGTGCATTGTATTGGCTCTTCACAGGGGCAAGGAAGGTTCTTCATGAACTTATCTTCAGTAGTTTTTTCATGGAAATTGAATACAAAAAACTTTTTGCTGTGGAATTTGTGAAGGTAAATTTTTTTTTTTGTGTGTTTACACTATAAATTTTTACTCACTTTGTAATATTTTCCCATAACCTGAAAATGTATTAATAACATAAGTAGAATATACATATTTTTAAATATAATATACATGGTATTTCAGTATAAATTATGACTTTTCCACAATCAGAACTTCAACTAGCTCAGCCTTTGCAGAGTGTATTCATTCCGGTGTCATTGGTTTTGTTCCATATAATCATGTAGGTACGTGTACTCATTTTTAATTCAGTATTGCTGTTACTTTGTTTATCTTTTGAAATGGCAGATGAACTGCTACTGAAACTGGTCATTATTTTAAAAAGTAAAATGCAGTAGGTAAATATACAAAATATAAGACCAAATGTTTTGTTTTAGGTAACAAATATCCTGATTTATATAACCTGTATATTCAAGTGACTGACATTTATTTAATGGTTTTCTCTGGACTGAAGGAAAGCAAACAAAGACTTAAGATTACTCATTGTACACATCTTTTGTAGATAGCTGTTGAATAATTATTCATGCAGTTCGCTGCAGGAGGAGGACTGGTTTTATACTAAGTTGATGTCTTTGTAGATTCTTTTCTCAGATTATTTTTTTTTCTTTTTTCTTGTGGAATATTGGTTGTAGGAGAAAATATGTTTTGATTGCAATCTAGCAGAATGGATACATTTCTTCTGAGCTTCAGTATTAAGGCAGTGGGGCACACGTTTGACTGCTTTGGTGCATTGAGGACCGTGCCAGTTTTGTTGCTTGCACTACTTCTTTTAGAAAGGAGGAAGGATATTGACATGAAATCCTTGCAGATAAAAAAGTAAACATTTTTACCAAACTCATTTTAGTTATTTCATTTCCCCAATATTCTTTTTTTCCTAGTATTACAAGACATTGCAAAAAGAATACATCAGTGATGATCATGACAGAGTTCTCTCTGTGACAGCACTCTCGGTTCAGATGTTCACTGTACCTACTCTGGTATGTACAGCCTGTCTCTGTTAGAAATGTAAAATAAATTTGAGAATTGCCAGCAGTCCCACTTCTGTGTCTACAGACAGAGAGTCTGTATACACTGGTGAGTTCAAAATGAGCAGTGGTTGAGATTTGTTAAGGACAATATGAAAGCAGAAGCTTGAGTTTATGTGAAAATTCATTACGGAAGATGGAGGGAGTGCAAGTAAGTAGAAGTTCTAGGCAGTATCTTTCTCTCCATTATCTTACTGTGTTTATTTACTATTCACATTTACCTTCACTGGTAATTTTAAAAGCTGGGGAGAATTGGGGAAAAAAGTGGTTAAATGTCTTTTTGTGGGGGTGAAAGTTGTTAAATCCTGTGGAGGGAAAAAGTATATCTGTAGGTTTTAGAAGTTACATGTTTCTTGCCTGAAATGATAATGTAAAAGCCTTTTTCTACATGATCTTTCTAGGAAAAAAATAGCATGTTTGCTACATTGAAGCTGTCAAAGTCAACAGATACATTAAGCTCATAGAGACTTTATATATAGCAAGTACTATGGGAGTTTTGTGGCTTGAGTTTTTACAAATACTAAAAATAATTAATGATCAAACAGACTGGATTCAAAGAAAAACTCATTTTAACAGTTCCCTTCAACAAAACTAGGAAGAAAAATTCCTGTTATTCTTCTTGCAGGCACGACATCTTATTGAAGAGCAGAATGTAATCACCACTATTACTGAGACACTTCTGGAAGTGCTTCCAGAATACCTAGATAAAAATGACAAGTTCAACTTCCAGGGTTACAGTCAGGACAAACTGAACCGGGTTTATGCAATAATATTTGACCTCAGGTAAGTGTAAAGCTGAGAAACTAGAGCAACTGTTTGAAAAGTGGCAGTAGGATGATGTGTTTCAGTTCAGGTATCTGATGATAAAACTTTAAAATAAATGCAAAACCAAAACCGTCACAAAACACATATGAAACTTTTGTGGTTTATTTTTCAGTGGAAACTTAAAATTTTATTTTTGTTCCCATAGAACAATTGTATTAATAAACAAAACATTTACTGTAATAGTATGGGAATTTTGTCTTGTGTTCATTATCATTCCAGGGAGGCTGTATAATCCTCATCTGCATAGGATTTTCCCCTCCCACAGGTCCCAAACTACTCTCATAAACTAAGTAATGTAAAAGCAAACCATCCCAAATATTTTGGAATTAAAATACCTGTTTAGTGTGACTCCCATGATTTGAAATAAACATCTATAGTGTTTGGTGAGAATTTTGAGAGGAGCTTGAGATGAGGAGGGTGATGTAATGTGATGATGCAGTTGATTATTTTATTACGAAGAACACTTTAAGTATGAGCATAAGCAGATGAGAAGTGTGAGCAAAAGATGATAATGTTTTCTTTGGGGACAGGTATGTCTTGGTCAGCAAGCCTACACTGTGGACAGACCATCTGAGGGAGCGCTTTTTAGAAGGATTTGTTTCTTTCCTAAGGATTCTAACTTGCATGCAGGTACAAAACATTTGAATAATTTCTTTCTGAATGTTATAAAGATATTTTAGCACTTAGTTTGCTCATCTCTGTTCATAGCAATGTTGTGGATATAAACATGAAATTAAGATGGTACATTTTTCAATCTCTATTTTGTGTGGGTGAAAAAGTAATGTTTACCTCATAGAAATATTATTCATTAATTTTAGCTACATGTGTCTGAACAATGTATATTTTACCACTTGCTTATAAGATTTTCTGTTGTTTTAAGCCTGTGATTACTGATCTCGCTTGAGTATTTTGTTGCGTCTTCATTTCAGGGAATGGAGGAGATAAAAAGACAGATTGGTCAACACATTGAGGTGGACCCTGACTGGGAAGCAGCTATTGCTATACAGATGCAGCTCAAAAACATTCTCTTGATGTTCCAAGAGTGGTGTGCCTGTGATGTAAGTGTATGGGTTGTCTGGGATTCTTACGTGCCTGCTTTTGTGAATATTCTGGAGTGCTTTCTTAGAAACAACTTTTTTAAAAAGCTCAGTATTGTTCAATACAGATCTCCACCAAAAAATGAGCCTGAATGAATTAATCTGCTGGTGTGACAAAGAGAAGTGATCTCTGAAGAGTATAATCTTCTAGCTGACAGAGCTGCACAGGGCATTGGGCAAATTGTGAAGAGAAAATACTTCTTATCATTTGAGATTTTGAGAACTAGGTTCATGGTTTCACTGTCAGGTTTTAAGGTTTTGAAGCATGGTGTTCTTTTTTAATTGCAAAAGTGGACTGCAGAAGCTCTGTGCTAATTGGGTAATGACCCTGTAAGTTGTCTTAATCAGTGCTGGGCCTCATTCCTGTGTTGGAGGAAGAGAGGAAATTGTACAATTTGTTAACTTAAAGACGTTCTGAAGTGTGGGGTCTTTTTTTTCAGTAGGGACAGAAAGGAAGAACAACAGGTCAGGAGCTTGTTCATCCAGCTGGGGGGGCAAAGTGTGCAAAATAATAAAATATTGCAGCCTAAATAAGCAGATAGGTTTGAGAGCATTTGACAGCAGCTTTTTTTGAGCTGAAGCATATTCTTAGCTTTAGTAGACACTCCACTGCTCTGTTACCTCTCAGTATTAAGAAACTGGGCAGTAATTATTTTTGTGGATTTTCAATAGCGGTTTATGCCATCAAAAAAAAAAAAAAAAGAGGACTTTTAGTGCATATATATGACTTTTAAATGTAAGACTATGCATTAATTTTAAATTCTAGGAGGAGGTGTTGCTCAGGGCCTACAGGGAGTGCCACAGAGCTGTGATGAGGTGCAGCACCAACGGCCGCTCCCGGGAGAAGACAGTCCTTCACCTGTGTGGCCATACTCTGGAGAGCAGACCTTACAGGGTGTCTGCAGATCCCGTCAGCATACACTTACCCCTCTCCAGGACACTTGCTGGTAGGTGGTGCGTTTTCTTTTGATTGTTACTTAATTTGTGTTTTCATCTGTCTCTTATTTCTTTAGACTAGAAAGCATTTCAGTTAAGTGCTTCACACATCAGTCACTCTGACATTCTTAAGAAAAGGGTTCCTTAAAAAAACATTTGCTATGGAGGTTGGAGGACATTTTTTAAACAGGAGAGAGAGAAGAACGAAAAATTTTGTATTTTAGTGAGATCTTCAGTTTTCTCTGGACTATTTGAATTTACGTAGTTCTTTCTGCCTGGTTTGCATAAATGAGTGTTCATTATTACTGTATTTTAAATTTATTTTCCAGCCACATATATATTAAGACTGTTAAAATACTCCTCCTAAATATACATATTTGTAGCACTTCAGGACAGATTTTCAGTCAGAATACAAAGGACCACAGCACTGAGTGATCGCCCTTTCTCTAGAACAAAACTGAAATCACATGCTATTATTGAGCTGTAGATTCTTCATCACATCATTTGATACCAAGATGCCATCTGCTAGGCCTTGTACTCTTGAAATTTAGTTATTACTGACATGTTATTTAAATGTGAAATTAAAATTTTGCTAATACTATTCAGCATCTCAATTTAAATGGTTTTGCTGAGTTCATTAAATGAATAGACTTATTGATAAAATAATGGGTTGTAAGACTGGTAAGAACTATTATAATGTAATAGATTTTCTATCTTAAAAAAAAAAAAGTAACAAGTCTTTCCTAAGTAAACTTGGACTTTTTTGTCAGTAATACTCTGAGTTGTAGATGATTTAGCTAACATTAGAATGGGTTAGAGGAGAAACTTCACTGATTTTGATTTATTTTCTAATTGTTTTCCTCATTTTTTTTAGGTCTTCATGTACGGTTAAGCAAGACTGGAGCCATCTCAAGATTGCATGAGTTTGTTTCTCCTGTAAGATTTTATCTTTTTTTTTTTTTTTTCTTTTCCAAATGCTTCTTGTGATTTATACTTTGGGAAGGAAAAAGCCTAAAATTATGTCCTGTAACTTTCATTTCACATACACAAGTTATTTTGCAGCTGTCAATGTCTTTGTTTATTAGGATGTACACTTTAAAATCACTGACAGACTTATCCTTGCTTGATATTTTTTTTTTTTTTTAATTTAAACCCCAGGAAGAATTGCAAGTGGAGCTGCTGGTGGAGTATCCTTTGCGATGTCTTGTCTTGGTCGCTCAGGTTGCTGCAGAGATGTGGAGGAGGAATGGGCTCTCCCTGATAAGCCAGGTAATCCCTGCAGGGTTCAGTAGTGAGTTGCTCCTAACGGTGTATGCCAGTGGTTCTCAGTAATGCTCCCAGTGGTGGTTTCATCCAGTGCATGAAGAGGTCATGGGGGTCACTCCTACACTAAACAGAAAGGTTTCTAGGTGGGAATTTAGAGGACTTGAGTCTGTCTCTAGCTCCATCAGTGGTTTGCTTCCCTGTATTAGACAAGTATTTTCATCTCTCCTATGACTCTTCCTGACTCTGAAATGGTTTTAACATTACTGACATCTACTGTAAACTACTTTCAGATCTGATAAAGAAATCACTGCATGAGTACTGTTGGTAACGTTGCTTACAGCATGAATGGTTAGGACAATCTCTTAGTTTGTTAATCATTCAGGTGGTGGAGGCCCCATCCTTGGAGACATTCAAGATCAGGCTGGATGAGGCTCTGAGTAGCTTGATCTAGTTGGAGATGTCCCTGCTTATGGTGGGGGGGTTGGACTAGATGACCTTTGGAGGTCCCTTCCAGCCCAGACATTCTATGATTCTATGCTTATATGCAGAAGTTAAACTACTTTAATCTTGCCCTAAACTTTTGAGTGCCACCTTAACAGAGCGTAACAAACATTTTATAATACTTGCAGTTTTTTATTGCAAGAGTAAAAGCAAGAGTCTGCCTTTAAGTCCTTCTTGTATTTTACTTGCTTTGACATAACTTTTTTTTTTCCTTTTTTTTTTGATGGCAGAAATTTTCTGTTTACCTTTCACAGGACCCTTTGGTGAAAGTAAATATTGATAGCCCCTTTGTAGAATTGTTTCTCTGAGAACTAGGTTAGGAGAAGGAGGATGTTTTAACTTTAATCAGTAGCGGCCATTAGAATTATGTTGTCTTGGAAGGGGGTACAAAGAAGTACAGCATGGACTTTCTCCTGATATGTGGAAAAACCAATTTTTTTTTCACTTCCACCAAGGTACACATTTGTTTTGAAAGAAACACACGATTTTCCCATACTCAAAGGTGCTGTATAGTTTAAAAAAGCCTCAGATGTTAACTGGTGCACATTTGATAATATATTACTTTACATCTTTACTTAAATTTTGTCTTCCTGTTTCTCAGGTATTCTATTATCAAGATGTTAAATGCAGAGAAGAGATGTATGATAAAGACATCATCATGCTCCAGGTATAATGTTCTGAATCATTGCTTGGTTGGCTCATAACTTTTTCATGTAATTTATCTTAATTTTGATTAAATTTTGTGGCTGTAAAAATTTCTTGATGAAAATAGAATTTTTCATAATCAATGAAGAACTGTAATAGTAACTGGTATTCATAATAGTTTGGGTTTTTTGATAGATAGGTGCATCTCTTATGGATCCAAACCAGTTTCTCCTGCTGGTACTGCAGAGATATGAGCTTGTTGATGCTTTCAAAAAGATCAAGCCCAGCAAAGATCCAGTAAGTGGCAAGTACATTTCTGCTGATTCCTTTGTTTGCTTTGTGTTTATGGAAGATTAATAAGAAAAACTAGCTACAGTTGATAACTGTGTTTTTTAGGACCACACTAGAAGTCAGTCAACACAGGAGCTAGTGATTAGGCAAATGATTTTGGATTCAGAATTTGTAGAAGCGTGCTCAAAATTAGTTAACAGATTTTGCCCTCTTTGACCTTTATTTCATAGGCCATCTACCAAAATCCACATAGATGACTTCTCTATAAAATTTCTGTGTCTCTTAAAGATGTATTATGTGTTCTTATTTTGCCTGGAAGTGTATTGGATTGCTATGCTACTTCCTGAGGCTTGAACTTTCATATAACCCTCTATTTAGGATACATTTTTAGCTGTTGTTTCTTTTCCTGTGCATGTGAATTTTGCACTTCAGTTGCAGAGTAATATCTTCTCTGCAAGTGCAGGCATTTTTTCTAGCTTGTTAGACTGGCAATTTCTTCTTTCAGTACAGTGCTTTGGCCAAGCAGTGCATCTGAAAGCTGAGCTCAGTGTCAGTTGCCAGATTTCCCTGCTTGTCTTTTTTGGTTTGTTTTTTAAAACTGGTTTCTCTAATTCTTGTAGGACTTAATCAAACAATATAACGTGTTAATAGAAGAGATGTTACAGGTTCTCATCTATGTTGTGGGTAAGTTGTGTTTCTCTCTTCTGTTGTGTTACTACAGTTTGACAACACGAGTCTGATGACTTCCTGACGTGGATGGTATAGAGAGGATACTGGAGAATGCCTGGTTTAAATAGATGGTTTAGTAGCACAATTATTTGTCAAACAGAAGCAATAGGAGTTGCATAGTGAAAAACTGTTAGATAACTTCATAATTGACTAATAAAGTAGAATTTGAGCAGAAACTCCATCTTAGCCAGCTTTGTTAAGAAACCAGGATAAAAACGGGTTTTCCTCTGAGACTTTTGGGTTAGGTTTATGGCAAATGTAAACTTATACTATTTCAGAGCTCAGTAATAGTGTTACCCTCTTGTGCAAAATTAAGAATTGCTTTATAACGATTTTATTTGCCGTTCTTCTCCTTTTGATTCACTCTGGTAGGGGAAAGATATGTGCCTGGAGTGAGTAATGTGACAAAAGAAGAAGTTACCATGAGAGAAATCATCCATCTGTTATGTATTGAACCAATGGCTCACAGTGCAATTACCAAGTCCTTGCCTGAAGATGTGAGTCCTTGTTTGTTTACTCTTTCCTTTAGTTCACTTTTTCTTGCTTTGTCTTTTTTAGCTTCCATATCTTCACATGGAAGCATTTGATTTCTGATATAAAGCTCCAATGCTGGTTTCAGAATTGTGAGCTAGCGTGACCAAGAGCCTTACACACTGCACTGATATAGCTATAAATGTCATGGATTCAAGTATTGTCTGATCTGGAAAGGCTTGTATGGGCATTGTGCTTTTGAAGAGGTGGAATTTTGTGCAATATTCAGCTGTAGTTCTCCTTGATTCAAAAAGAAAAGTTTTAGAAGTATTTTCTCTTTTGGCGCTGTAGGCCCATGCAGCTGGATTCCATTCTGCCCTGTGTAACAGCAGTAGATCTCATCCTGTAACTTTGATCACTTTAAACCTGTGCAGCTCCATCAGAGGTCAAGTATTGTACAGGTCTATTTGAAAGCACAGATTTCCCTGCCATTCTATTCTGACTGTTGAAAATTCAAGTAAAGGAGAGGGATGTGGATTAGATTTTATAGTCTGTGCAAGTTTTCAAGGCTGGCAATCAATGCAAATCAATTTTACTGTAAATTAAATAGCCTGAAATATTATCAGAAACCAATAATGGATGATCCACATTTACTACTTTAATAGACTAAAACTGTTTGTCCCTCTGTTGAGGTTGGGTAAGGCACGGCTCTGTTTCTGGAGCTCAGCTTTATCAAATAAAACTTTACATGATTAAATCAAAGTATGATCTGTCTTTGCTACTTCCTTGTAACTTGTCAATTATTAATACCTACTTACTGAATAACAGTGGGTAGAATGTATTAATTCATGAATTAGGGAATTGATCTAAATCTATGTCTATTCTTGTTGCATTTAGCATAATACTGAAGATACTTGAATCATTATGTATTTATCCCAAATTATTTTTTTTTTTTTTTACCAGGAGAACAATGAAACTGGCTTGGAGAATGTAATTGATAAAGTGGCTACATTTAAGTAAGTTCCTAATGTTTTGTAAGTAGCTTGAATGTGAAATAAGATCTCTTTGATTATATGGGTTGAACAACCACAGTCTCTGTTAAGCTAATATTTTGCTGTTGTGAAATGCATATGCTTGCAAATATGCATAGAAAAGTGAGTGGAATATTTGAAGTTGCTGCTTCTCTGCTTTTGCCCCCCTCTTTCTTGAAATTCATTCTGAGTCATCTCAGTGTAATAATCTCAAGTCCTAGTGGGAAAGTCTTCAAAAGTTCTTTTTATTACAAAGATGGTTGGGAAACTTAATTCATTGTACATTTGATAATCACCAAATCATTAGTTTAGAAGTTTAGTTGCTAACTTGCTGTAACTTTCAGAGAGGAGTTAATGCTTTTTGACAGACATGTACAAATATAGAATAATAAATTGTAACAGTTGAGAAAAACTAGTTCAAAAGTCTCCTATTTTATCACAAAAAATGTTGTGTAATTTAAATTATTTTAGTATACCTCATTTTAAGTTTCATGTGGCTTGCTTTTTTATGTTTAATCAAGGGCAACTATAGGGTGTAACTAGGAATTTTGCCTTGGGAGTTATATGGAAGGTTCAGAAAAATCTCACTGGCTGGAAAGTGGCTGTTTGTATTACTTGTTTTGCACTGTGGTTAAAGAGGGTAATGAATTTTATAGGTTAACCTCCAACATCTGAAATGTAACCATAAAGTTAAAAAGAATACCTGTCAGAGGCTATATGATGTGCTGTAGATGGTATGGACTGGAAATATTTTGCTGCTGGGGAGGATTTATAGTCATAAATAGTCTTGAAAATTAAAAGACTGGTAACTGTACTTACTGTGTGCTCTTTATAGGTTAATGAAGCAACCATCACCATTCCACTTCTTATTAGCATTTCCTTAGAAAATAAATCATGTTGGTTTTTTTAATACTCAGAGATGTGCTGAACATACATTATTAATCTGTATGTCATTGAATATGTCTCTGTAAGGAAACCAGGTGTGTCTGGCCATGGAGTTTATGAACTGAAAGATGAATGCTTGAAGGAGTTCAATATGTTCTTCTATCACTACACTAAGACCCAGCACAGCAAGGTAAGCAGTGTAAGATCCACTCTCAAAGGTTAAAAAATAGTAATATACTTAGTAATGTCTGAAGAACTTTGTGAAATCAGAGGAATTACTGAATCAGTTTCTTTAGGTTCCATTAAAGAGTATATGGAACTAACTTAAAAACTAAACTTGTAATGAAGCTCAGATTCTTAACACAAGTTGATGTGATATGGTTTTCATTAGTATTTTTCCTATAGTGACTTCTGTATTAACTCTGTTAACTATTTATAAGAACAAAATATTACTTTTGCACTGGAAAACCCCAAACTTTACTTTTATAACTCTTATTAAATCAGCAGCTATGTCAAATTATTTATCTCTACTACAAATTGGAATGCAAGATGCAGTATTGTTAAACAGATTTCAGACAAAATTCTAGTTGCACGACCAAGTATTGACTTTGTATCTTGGCACATTCCTGGTTCAGGGTTTCTCATTGTTTCATTACGTACTTCTGTAGAGATGCTGATACATCAACACTACTTTTTCTGTAGGCTGAACATACACAAAAGAAAAGAAGAAAACAGGAAAACAGAGATGAAGGTAAAAATTGGAAACTGATGACTCAACAAATGTGATAACTCAGTAGTGAATGTAGCTGTACATACAAAATGAGCTTTGGGAGATGTCTTGTGACTTACCTGTGGATAGCTGAGATTGTATTAAAGTTATTGTGATTTGTAGTAATTGTAATTAATTAGCACCCGTCACTTATTTTCTCTCTTTTCCTTCTTTTAATACAAAGCTAGGAGTTTGGGAATGTTTAGTTTAATTTCATAGTAGACAAATAAACATGTCATAGTACCCACTGACAAAATGAACAACTTAGATTTTTTTATGGTGGAGTAACTAGGAGGCAAAAGTTTTTTTGTGAGTGATTTCTTTAGCACAGTGTTGAGACATAATCCATGCAGAGAGAGGTGCCACAGCAACTAGTGCTCCTATCCTTTCTGGAAGTAGCTTGAGACTTAAGTTTAATCAAAATATTCCTCTTTTAGAAGATGCAAATACATATAACAATAAACCCCCATGTTTCTATTCTGCCACAAATGTAATTTCCCTTTTGAGCTTACTTCTACCTGTTCAAGTCACAAGCATTAAGTGGGTTGTTTTGAGGAAGACTTTGTAAGCTGAACGAGTAAGTGCAATGAATAAGTTAATAAAATCAACTATTACTGCTTTTGGGATCTGCAACAAATAGAATTATTTGTCTCTTCCCAGATTGTCCTTCCAGTTGAATACCTTAATCTTCTTACTCTAAGTGTATTTTGGTTTTTTGTGTACACTCAGGGGCACTACAGCATTTCATACCTAAGGTGGTTAAAATTAATTCTGAATAGGTTTTATTTACATTGGGTTCCTTTCAGTTGAAAAACTGTGGAACTTAAACAGAATAAATTTGTGCTGTAATTTAGGAGAGACTCAGATAAGAAATCATGTTATCTTTGAAAAGTAATTTCCTTCAGTTTGAAGTAACTCAGACTATTATGACAGCTGAAATATGAGGAAAAAGGTATCTTTGGATTACTTTAAGCTTCTCCCTCTGCTGTTTTACACAGTTGACAGATTTTTCAGTGGCACCTTAATAATTTTTTTTCCTCTGTGTTCACTTTAGAAACTTAAAATGTTAGCATGGACATTTATTTTATACAGCTTTTAAAAAAAAAATGCAGATATTGAGACGTAACTGTCAGAAACTCATAATTCATGTAACCCAACAATACAGTTCCACAATACAAAGGTAATTGTTACATTGATGTGTATGCCCCTGAGGCTACTCATCTTGTTCCAGATACTTTGGGCATTTGCTTTTACGTGTCTGTGTTGTCTTTGTCAGTAACTTTTTATAATTCATTCAGTCTAAATTGTGAGAGGATTGATGGTGATTCACAGCATTCATAGAAGTTTTCTGAAAATGGGCATCTAGGTACCAAAAGAAAACTTAAGTTGATGCTTCCAGGTAGGAAAAGGCTGCAGCATTAACTGAGCTGCTCTTAGTAGATATCAGGACTCCATGTGGCTTCTGGGTGAGACACCACATCACAGTTTTGATAGCTCAAAAAATGTCCATGGCCAAAAATGATCAGAATGCCCCTGTAGCTGGAAGCATTTGGAGCTGTAGCTGTAATAGGCATGGGACACTGTAGTGTGAGACACCACACTCTCAAAGAACAACTGCTCACTCTTGTTTAACCACTTGAAAACTTCGTATCTGTTGCAAAACATAGACACTTTTATGTTTGTTAGTGACACATCAATAAGGCAGTGCAAAGTATTAAATACCTGCATTTATAGATACAATTAAGTACTTGTGATTGATGGTTTAGCTTAGTTTGCATGTCTTTTACAGAAGACCTCAATAAAAGTACTTAGCTGTGCTAAAGATAAAAGCTGACTTAGGTGAACAACTGTATATAGGTGTGGCTTTATTAATTTCAAGGACTAGTTGTTTCACTGGAATTGGTATGCTCGTGCTCTCTACTTTTTGCCTGCAATCTTTGAGATGCCAGTTTGTTGATATATTTGCATGTCTCCATTTTCTAGCATTGCCACCACCTCCTCCCCCAGACTTCAGTCCTGCATTCAGCAGCGTGGTGAGGATTCTGAACTGTGATGTGATGATGCACATAGTGAGGACCATTCTTCAGAGAGCGGTCGAGCTGGAAACCCACTTGTGGACTGAAGGGATGATCCAAATGGTATGGTTAGATTGGGTCTTCTTCTTGTGGTCATTCCTCTGTTGACCATGCTAACTGCTTACCATAAGATCAATATGTGGAAACTTTGAATGACAAGAATTTACTTTTAGTACACAAACCTGTTTTATAAATCTTCTCGATAAAGAAAATATTTCTAATTATTCATCTCCCCTGTAAAACAGAAGGATGAAACACAATAGTATTACATTGGGAATAATCTTCCATTTTCTATTATGCTTTCCCCTGTGTTGTCTCATGACTGAAGCTGTTTCAATATGTAAGTCTCCTTACCTCATATTTTTCTTGAAACTTCATATACAAATATGTAACCCTTTGATCATCATAAAGGAATTTGAGTTGTTTCATTTTGCAAGTTAGAAAGTTTCCAAATATGTACCTGTCTTTGGGGTCTCAGTCATGAAATGTAATTTTGTAAGTATTTAAATATTTCATTTTACCACAGTGATTTTTATGCTTTAAAAAAAAGGAATTACTGACTTTTTTTTTTTTTTTAAGATGTTTAGTTTGTTTGTTTTTAATCTTTATAGGATTAGGACTTGAATGTACAGACTGGTTGAATTAATCAGTTTTGTAATTACAGTGCATAGGTGATTTTATTTCTTTGCCTTTAATGCTAATATTTGGATTATGTAATTAACCAAACATTCATAGACTTGTATTGGCAAAATGGCAAGATTTGTATGTTACTAATGTAAAATGTGTGCAAGTTTATTAATTTTAATGCAAATAATATGCAGGAAAATTATATTGTGTACTGTTATTTCACTTTCCATGTACAATCACTGCACTTTCTTATTTCTTTAGTATATTGTGGATATAATCAGCGTATAGGATAGAACTATATTAAATGTCCTTACTTTATATGACATTTTTTTCAGACCTCTAACAGTAAATGAGATTTACTCCTTTCTTTTTCAGGTGCTTCATCTCCTTTCTTTAGGGTTACTAGAAGAGAAGCAGCAGTTACAGAAGTCTCCAGAAGAAGAAGTAACCTTTGATTTTTATCACAAAGCAACACGTATGTTTCATTTTCTTTAAAAGAGCAGAGTAATTTAAGCTAACTTGGTTTTGTAAGGACAAAAAATAAACTAGAAGAAAGTATTCAGTGATTTTAGTCAGAAAGGATTTACTTTTTGTTATAGAATTAAAACCCACTAAAGAAATAGGTATTTTTTTTTTAAAAAAAGTAATCAAGAAAGCAGATTTGGATTAGCTTCCTTTGTTCCCAATGGCCAGGTATATTGAAGAGGAAATGTGCTTCTCTTCCTGGGAAATAAATGGAAAAGTAATACTGGTCTTAGATAACTGAAAATGGTTCTTCCTTAATAAGAACATGATTGAAATAGAAACTAAGAACTCCGTGAAAATTTATAGTGGATTTAACTGAACTGTCTCAATTTTTTTTTTGTACTCCTGAACTGTAGAATTATAGATTTACCTGCAAGTTAAAAATCTTTTACTGTGATAGTGATAATAGTGGCAATGAAGTGTACTTTTTTCCTTTTTTTTCCAAATCCCTACAGAGCACTTCCTAATCTTACATTCAAGACTAGTGGGTAGCAGTTATCTACATTTTGTAAATATTCCTCTGTTTTGTCTAGAGTTTCTGCTTCACTGCATAAGAATAAATAAAAAAATTCCATTACCAAGCTAAACAAAACTCAGTTGAGAGATGACACAGATAAGAATTGTGAAGTCACAAAATCAGAAATTGCTTAGGTTGGAAAAGACCTTTAAGATCATTGAGTCAAACCCTCAACCTAACACTGCCAACTCCACCCCTAGGACCTGTCCCTAAGCACACCATCTTTAAATACTTCCTTTGTAAATAAAAAAGACATTTCAGCAGATTTTTGTAGTTTTCAAAAATATTGTGTAAAGAGGTGTCACTGAGTTTGGAAAACAATCCTATTTAACTTTTTTGATTCTCAAAAATTTTCTTTTTGTTGAGCAAGGATAAGTCTTGTCATCATGCAGAGCATATTTCTGTTTAAGAAGCTTCATATTAGCTATAGGAATATATTAAAAGCAATTACAGTTGAAATGTTACAGAATTTTTGTTTTTGCCAGCTTTAGGCTTTGCATAACCAGAAAAACCAAAGTGCCATTGATATATAAGGGATGCAAAAATAATCAGTATTTTTTAAGGAAAACTCAATGAAGAAGTGATTTTAAAAAATACTTTTTTTGTAATATATTTGTCTTACTTGTAAATATGTGCAAATTAATTTTGAATGGAAAGTGCTGCAAAAGAAATATCATTTGAGAATGGTCTCAATTTTAAAGCATGCTTGTGTTGGAGAATCACCTAGAATGTTATGGACTTTTTTGGAGGTTTGAGGAAGCAAATAATTACTTTTTCTATCACAAAAAATGTTGTGATTAAACTTGTGCATGCTGAGCTGTTAGCAAACTTAAGTGAGCTATAAGAGCTTCACAGCTTCTTCTTGAAGTGAAAGTCACTTCTGGTTTTGACTGTACTTCTGCTCTTAGAAGTAGCAAAAATTATTGATCTACAAGAGGGAAAGATTATACTACATTGAACTTCAATAAAGAGGTGAAATTAAAACAAAGGTAACTACACAGGTTGTGCTCGTGTGTATGTCATGTAATTAGTAGTATTGTAAGGCATATTCAGTGTTGTAAATACATTAAAATATTGAGGGTTTTTTTTCCCTGAAGACCCATGCTTTTCTCCTTTTCCCTTCTTTGTCAAGGAATGGGAAGCTCGGCCTTGAATGCTGTGAATGTGTTAATGCTTCTGGAGAAATTAAAGAGAGTTCCTCAGTTAGAGGCACAGAAGGACACAGTCAATTGGATTCTGCAGGTAAACAAGGCAGGGAGATAAATAGGATCTGATTTTAATAATTTAAAAGCTTTTATGAATGATGTTGTGATTCCTACATATAACCCAGAGTTTACAGCTGCAGTGATGTCCTGAGAAGCTTCATCTGTTGGAGCATTTTTCCCCCTCAGAAGACATAATTTCTCAAATGCTGCATTAACACTTACAAGTCATTGTACTTGCTGTTGCTACTTTCAAGTATTGGGTCAATTTTTCCTCAGATAACTCACTCCACTAATGACATTTTTGTACAACTTTATTCCTCGTATTCCTGTTGCAAAATAACAGCAAATGATAAGTAAAAATTTATTAATTGGGAAGGCATTTTAGAGGCTGCTTGTATTATGACTTAAGTCATACAATTCTGATTGATGGCCACGTACATTTGAACCATCCAACTCTCTGCTCTTAGCCAGCAAGAGATGGGGAAGAGCTGTGATTCCTTCTCTACTGTAGGAGCCTGCTGCTTCTGCTTAGCAGGAGTACTGCTGTCCTGTTTTGGTTTAGGTGGCTTCTTGTTTTAGGTGTCAAACAGAAAACTTGTCTTCTTGTCGTGGAAAAGAGTAAGACTGTAGTAGGATTCCAAAATTATCCTCAGCTACTAAAATTGGACTATCCTGGTACATTAGGGAGGCAAGTTTGAGAGATATTTTTGAAACGTTATTCTTCTAAAACTCCAAAGGCAAAGGTAAAAATGTACTGTGAGAAATATATTAACTTTTTAATGATGCATATAGTAAACATAGGATATTTAATATCAGAAGTTCAAGATGCTTCTTAAAGTCAGGATAGCTGGAGAAAATAAACAAAAACTGAAGGCTCAGTTTTAACTCATTTGGTGTATGCTGGAAAGCTTTCTGTCCCAGCTGTGTAGGGTTTTGCATTATTTTAGTGACTGTTTCCATGGGATGATCCACACTTCACCTACTTGAAATAAGCTACCAGTCTCTGTTCATTCCTCTGAGGTACAGATGCTTTAGCTGCTTAGCAATATTAGTGCTGCAAGACTGGAAAAGTTGCAAGAATTTTACTTCCCTTCATACTAAGCAGTGCTCATTAGTTTTAGGATACAGACACAGCACTGCTGCAGAGTGCACATATGGTCTCAGATTTTTTTTTATTTAGAAGTATGGCAGTTGGTTTCATCTGTTTGAAAAATCTGAAAATAACATGAAACTGAATATCAAGAGCTTTAATCCTATCTGTATTCTAGTAAGACCCAAGTTGCTATTTTGTTTTTCACATCTAAGTCTTTATCTCTAGATGTTTGACACGGTGAAAAGATTGAGAGAAAAATCTAGCTTGACAACAGTAACGTCTACATCAAGCTCAGAAGCTACAAAAGGTGATGAGGTAATTAAAAATAAAATAAAATGTTCAAGGGAAGCCTTGTATTTGATGTTTTGAATGGCTGCTTTCAAAAAGGTGCCCAAATCACCTAAAATGATAATTTAAAAAATACTAATTTATGATGTATTGCCTACAAATAGGATTTAGATTCCAAGATTAATATTTTTAATAAATTAAATTTATGGCAAGCATGTTTCATGGAATTGTCAGCAACTGATGTGGGTTTTGGTTGTACTTCCAAGTTAAGGGAAATAACTGAGGGAGGTGAAGGAGTAATTTGTATGTATTTCCTTTTCTGATCTTTATGATTTGAGCAGCTTTTCTATTACATTGTCATTGTGCAATAATTAGAAATACAAATCCACTTAAAATGATGTCTTGTAACTTACATGACCTCCCAAGAGGTTAATCTGCTTTGCCTCGATTGTATAAAGATGTCAAGCTTAGGTGATTACTCTGTCTGTGCATCAGTCTCTACCCCCTTCCCTCAAAATAACTTTTGAACACAGTGGTCAAATGACAGCGAAACAGACTTCAAACACTGGTGCAGTCCCATGAAGTGTTTTTTAATTTTATCTTTTTTTAAATTGGCAGTTGAATAGAAGAGAAGGCTGATTATGCTTAGGCAGCAGTGTGCAGAGAGGCCAGTTGGCTCTCACGCAGTCTGTTTGGCAACAGCTCACTGCCAAACAATCTCTTGGCTGGTCGTTGCGTGGTGTAGCTCTAAACTTATCACCACAGCATATGCTGTGTTGCTTTTTTGAGAAAGGTATCATATGGTATCTGGTAAGGTAAGGGAACAAAATACATAAGTCAGTAAGAGATGAGATTTAAATTTCCACTACTTGTGGAGCAATTGGTTGTTTCATTGCCTCAAAAAGTAATGCTGTTGTAAATGGAGGCAATGTGTATACTGTTGAATTTATGAAGAACTGAATGAGAGGAATTAGGTTCTGTATGTTCTAATGAAGTCTACCTGTGGTTTTTGCATTCTGCATTTCCACAGCATATAAATACTTGGTTTATAGTTTTTGAAAACATGGTCGATTATACAATACTGGAAGAAGAGTAGTTTCCCATTCTACAATAAAGAGTAGGGGGGAAATGCAATCCTGAGATGCATAAAATGCTGCCACAAAAGCGTAGGAACAATCTATATGCTGTCTCATCCATAGATAATCAGAGATTAAATTTTCTTAAATTCCTGTAAGGGTGATCCTGAATACTCAGTGGGGGTTTTGCTTATGGGGAGAATAACAAAACACTGGAGGAGGCTTGTGATGTTCACCTCACCGAAGGTTTTTTTTTTTAAGAACAGACAAGTACCTAATTAAAATGGCTCTGGTATTGTTGATGCTGTCTTTGGGCAATAGATTGTACTAGTGACTTTTTGTGGACCTTTCAAAATCTTATTTTCTGACCAGGTTGATGAACCTATTCAACATTAAAGAAGTTAGGTTTACATTTTTCAGATAGCAGTTAGTTACTATTTTTTTTAATCATAAAAGTGTTGTTAGTTAAGGTATTTGATGTCAGTGGTTAGAATGCATATAGTGGGGGGAAGATTCTTCTCATTTTTGTGTTCTCTGTTGCCTGTGAGTTGTTTGTTCCCCTGTGTTGTGAGGCACAGAGCACTCAGGACAAAGAGAAGGCTGAGCGGAAGAGGAAGGCCGAAGCGGCTCGCCTGCACCGGCAGAAGATAATGGCCCAGATGTCAGCACTGCAGAGGAACTTCATTGAAACCCATAAGCTCCTGTATGAAAACACAGTGGAGGCACAAGGGCAAGAGGCTGCTATTAGAAAGAGGATGCTATTATGGAGGAAGAAAGGTAAGGAAACCTGACATCTGGAGTTGTGGTGGGAAGAATTCATTACCTGCTACATGAGTTCGTTACGCTACTTAATTTTGAAAATACATTCAAGGGACAGATGGTGTCATGCCAGTCAGCAAACTTGGGTCTTTGGTTACTTTTAAAGCATCTGCTATTACAGAACTCCATTTAAACTAGCATGTGTATGCTAATGTAAGAACAGTGGACTCTGTGTAAGAGCATAAGGTAAAAGATAAGAAAATTATTTCTTCAAATGGTGGATGCTTAAATTGCTTAACATTTGAAAAAATCTCCTCAGAAAGCTGCTGAATTGACAATGTTAATTTTGGAGATGACTGTCTACCTTATATGAAACTTTAAGTTCTTAATTTGAAAAGTATCTGAAAGCCAATGTGCGTTAAGGTTTGCAGTGAAGAAGAGACACTTGTAGCTCAAGTCGTTGATACTTCTGCTTGTTTTAGTTTTTAAACTCTAATTTCATACTGAGAATGTTTGGTTTGTAATTGGCTATAATCTTATTATTATGGATTCCTCCTGTTCTAGACATTCTTCAACAATACAGTATACCTAATACCACTCAATTTTGATCTAATTGGGGCTGCACAAAACTAATCAGCAAAATAGAGAGATCTGCTGGAAAAAAAGTACTGATCACTTGTGTACTTTGATCTTTAATAAATCACGTTCTGTAAATCATTGTTGAACTCTGGAATAGGCTTCCATATATTTTAAAAATATTCCTTATTGTGTCAGAAAGCATTGAATTAAGATAGTTTTTTCAGTGTATTTCCTTCAGAAATGGGAAATGGTTTTAATGTGCCTGTAAAATTAAAATATATTTAATCCAATTTATATTGAATATAGCTTCCAGAATTTCCTGCTATCTGAATCCATTTCATTGTGTTTATTCTGTTAGCTGACGTCCACTTTCTACTTTTAAACAATACTGCATTTTAATAAGGATTGAGCTATTTCTTTAGTGTTAGGTCATAATTTGGTTTTGTAAAGCATTCTGTAAACCAGAAATATTAGCAGTGTATGACATCTCTAGATGCCTGGAAAAATAAGTTTGTTTAGAAAAAGCCATCTGATTATTTTATATCTGTGTCACTTATGGTCTTACAGCATGTCTTCAGCAATTGATTACTCCAAAATTGCTTTGGGTCCCAAAAGAGGTCCATCTGTTGCTGAGAAGGAAGTTCTGACCTGTATTCTGTGTCAGGAGGAGCAGGAAGTAAAGTTGGAAAGTGCTGCCATGGTATTATCAGCCTGTGTCCAGAAATCAACTGCCTTAACTCAGAACAGGAGCAGAATTCTTGACCTCTCAGGGGGTATGCAATTTTTCTTCTTTTAGACTACCAGCAGTTCTGTACCTAGAGCTCACACCCTTTGATCCTAATTAAACTCAGTATTTGGTCAGATTGCTAAATAGCTTGCCAATATTTAATAAAAGGAAACTGAAAATTTAAAAATTGTTCTAAAAGCTGTGCTTTAAAACTTCAAAAGTAGAAGTGTATGAATATTTTCATTTGTCCCTTGAAAATCAGAAAATGCTTTAATTTCACAAGATTTTATGAACATTAGAGGTTTGGTAGGAGTGGTCACTCTGGAAAAAATCCAAGGATGTTAACAGCTCCTGTTTATTCAAGTACAGCAGCAAACTTTCCCAATGTGGATGAAATAGATGAATATTATCAGACACCCATGTGACAGCCTCAGGAGGATTTGAGTTGTTTTTGTTG